TATTTTAAGTCTCTGACATGTCTGTGGATCCTGTACAGAACTAAAGTGTTAAACTGCTGCATGCTCCTGGATCCCTCCAGCCTCAAAAGTTCTTGCTTGCAAGATCCCTGGCAACATCAGGAACAGCTGATGCAGTGTAGTAAGTGTCTGATACTACCGTCTCTCCTAACAGGCAGATGCCTTGCCGGGAAGGGGGTACGGAAATACTGGAACACCAGAGGGTGTTTGTGGTATTGTGTGCATGTGTGCGGCGAGAGGTGTTTGTGGGGTTGTGTGTGGGATGCATATTATGTTTTGCATGTGTGTCCTGTGTGTGGTACATTATGTGTCTATGTGGACTGCCTAATGTGTGAAGTATATGCTTTACGTGTGCTATCTTTCATATGTGTGTACGTGAGTTGCTTGTAGTATTTGTGTGTAATGGTTACTATGTGTTGTGTGTGTGTGTGTATGTATGTATGTGGGCATTTTGTAGTACAGTATGCGTGTATATGTAGGCTGCCCCAATCAGGCCCAGTGGGTTTGCAGACTCGCAGGTGATCCAAAGGCACTTTGCATGCCATAGGCTGCTGACCCCTCATCTAGGTAAACATTGACCCAATCTATTTTTAATGCATTATATAGATAATGAATTTGAATATTTATATAGTGTTATATATATATATATATATACACACACACACACACACACACACACATTTATCCTCTCGTCTATCATCCTATAACTGTCAAGTTGGAGTTTATAGGATAAGTAGATTATCAACTGCTCTTACTATGTTGCTTAGACTGATCCTTTAATTTTTTGGTATACATAAAACAATGTTTATAGAAATATGATATGACCTGGGAGTACACCTACCAACCCATCTCACAGATTTATACGATCTAAACTTCCCGCCACTGCTAGACTATTTCTCGTGACCTGACCAAGTGGCACAAGCCACACTTCGGGTGGCTTTGCCGCATTAATATTATCAAAATGAATGTCCTCCCCAAACTTTTATATCTTCTCCAAACCCTCCCCATTACACTACCAACATCCTTTTTCACCGACATTAAGAGGACCCTCACCCGCTTTATATGGTCGCATTCTCCCCCTAGGCTCACATACAACACTCTTACAAGCTACAAACTCCACGGCGGCCTAGGCCTCCCAGACGTAGAACTATACTACAAGGCTACTATGTTACACAGAGTCTATGAATGGACCATCCCCAACAACCCCAAACATTGGGTGCTCCTTGAAAAATCTGCCTTTCAACATCCCCTCCTCACTATCCCGTGGCAACGAACAGGGACAACCTCCCTCTTGCAAGCCCACACAAAACACCCCACAATCATACCCACCCTTAAAGTGTGGTCACAAATAAGAAATAAACTAGGCATATCCCCCCACCCATCTCCCCTCTACCCACTGACTTACAACCCGGACTTCACGCCGGGCCTCTCCCCATCCTCCTTTGCTGCGTTCCCACACACCCACTACCTGCAATTGCTGACGACCAAGGAATTAGACCCCCTAGCGCGATCTGGGAAGATACGCAACCTACGACCCTACAAAAATTCCGTCACTCTCAGCTCACCCACTTCCTATCAACCACCCCCAATATCCTCCAGGGACACCGGCAACTCACCTCATTTGAACAACACTGTGTCTCCAGCGATATCAAAACGAAGCACCTCTCATTCCTATACAAACTAATGCAAACGGAAATATCGCCCGTCCTGCCCAAATACTCAAAAGCCTGGGAATCCGAACTCAATCTCTCCCTAACGCAATCAGACTGGAAACACGTGTTTTCCAATGTACACAAAACAAGCATGAGCACGCACACACAGGAAGGGAACTTTAAACGACTATCCAGGTGGCACCTTACTCCTTCCAAAATACATGCAATCTTCCCGAATGCCTCCGCGCAGTGCTGGAGATGCCAACACCCTCAGGGAACCCCAAGCCACATATGGTGGACGTGTCCAGTCATCTGCACTTACTGGTCCAAAATCATTAAGATGATTCACACCATCACCAACGTACAACTGCCCCAATCCCCAGAAATTGTACTCTTCCTCCTCCTCCCTCCATCACTTCCCAAGAACACAAAACCCCTAACCAACCACCTTCTCACAGCGGCAAACGCCCTCATCCCTAGCCACTGGAAAAAACCAGAAGCGCCCACCATCCGGACATGGATCAATAAGGTTGACTCCATACGCCTTTTAGAAGAAATACACTACTCGAGGTCACACTCCTACAACACCTATGAACGCACCTGGAGCCCGTGGCTACACTTCCTAAAAACTGATGAGACCTCCAGAACACCAACTCCCAACCAACTTACTTAAAAGGTCTATACACCCCCCCTCCCCCACCCCCCAATTGCACTCCTCCCACGTAAAGTATGTAAAGTATTTAAGGACCGCACCGCTCACGCTCACTACCTCATCCCCTAAGCGACTATCTGATAGAATGTCTGTCCACTCTGCAAGTCTGGAGGACCCCAATACTGAGGGAAAGGGAGCTCCCCCCCCCCACTCCCTTTATAGTTTGACAACTCTGGCTGGACACAATTTAGTGGGACTTAGTGGTTTCACAAAAGTATAAATTGAGAGGTTGAACCACATCTACTATGGCAAATCAACCAGCAACACCTGGTCTGTGAACCCACAGCACCCAGACTGGAACTTACACTTACCAACCCCACCACAACCTGTACGACCCCGCCAAAATCAACTCAATTTATTTATCTCTTTCTTTAACGCCTCTAAGATCTCTATAACCTACCTGACACAAATAAGTTAGACAGGACCAGCCAGAGTGAAGTTAATGCACAATGTTGAATGTTTGAAAATTTACTGATGAATATTGTTTACTGCTCAGAACTGACCCATAAGTGCATAATGGAATGTGGACATCATACCTTGCGACCCGGAAGAATTCTTCCAACGACATTCCTCACACTATCTTGGCTCCACAACATGACACCATGTTCTGCTCATTATGTTATGTACTCTATGTTAACTCAATGTACAGCTCTGTTTGTATGAAAATTTTTGACAATAAAGACAAAATAAAAAAAATAAAAAAATAAAATAAAAATATGATATGATTAAGGTGAAAGTATAGAAATTCTCATCTGTCTATATGTTTTTGGAGATGTGGCACATATAAATGTTGACTGTCTTGCCTAAGCAGGACACGTAGACTGTACCAGAAGTGAGCACGGGCTCTAGGGTTATATGGCCAGTTCAAGAAGCTGTTTGGACATAGTCTCTTCCTGGTCAATAAATATTTAGTCATCTTTATATTCTGGTCAAGAATTACAAGAACCACCACATCCCGCTTCTCATCCAAAAGCCTTTGATGTGACATAAAGAATGCATGGCGTAAAAGACCGCAGTTGAAGCCTTCATGCGTCAGGATGAAAACAGACTTCTTGCTCCTATAGATTGCTTCATATAGATTCTCAATAGTAGATTTCCCAGCTATCCAATCCCTCTCTTCTAGACACAATTTAAATTTATCTCGTTCAGTTCCCTCCAGTTGTGTTATCAGCTCATAATAAACCCAATCTCTCACCGCATGGTCTTTTGTGTTAAAAGCTACAAAGGCATCAAAGTCTTCATTACTGTCAATAGGGAGCTTTGAGTAAGATCTAATGGATGCAACAACCACCTGTGAAATGTACCATAGATCCCAAGAAAAAAGCTTCCAAACTATAGTAATTAACATCCAAGTGACAACCAAGAGACATGAGCAAATAAAACACGAATGACCGTATAAATCTTGGCAAGATTGTGGGTCCATGGAGAGTAGAGACTTCCTTCTCAGACTATCTGGTGAGTCGCACTTCATATTGGTGGAGAGATATTTAACAAATGTTTCAGTTTCTATCAAATAATTAATGAACCAGTGGGCATCACAAGTGCATTTGAAAGGGTTTCCACTAACATCCAGAATCTTTAGGGTGAGTAGAAGGTTTTTGGGAAAACTGTTTTCATCTATCATTTGAATAAGATTGTCACTTAAAATGAGCTCTGTCAGCATTATGTAGGAAGTAAAGAAGTGTTTCTGGAGAGAAGTAATCCGATTGGAACTAAGATTCAGGAACATAATGCTGCTCTTGATGGTAGTTATGTTACTGTATAGAATCGACAAGGAATTGAAACTCAGGTCTAAATGAGTTAGGTTGACCAAATGGTCTATAGTGCACCAATGAAAAGAGTATATTGCATTATGAGAGATGTTGAGTTCTTGTAATGACTCAGGCAATGTTAGTAAGACCTCATGTGGGATGATAAGAAGCTGGTTGTAACTAATATCCAGTATTTTTAGACTAGATAGGCTTCTGAATATGTAAAAATAAGTGTCTTTACCAAATTCCCATGAGCTTTGCAATTCGTTGTTTCTGAACAGAAGCTTTTTTAAAGAAGGGTTCCGTAACTCTCGTGATATACGCAAGCCAATAAGATTGTTATTGAGGTTTAATTCAGTCAAAGAGGTGAGATTTTCAAGGAATTCCAGCCTGTGGTTCACTCCTCTCATCATGAACTGATAGTCATTATGTGCCAGGTTTAGGATTTTCAATTGTGGGAGTTCATTTAAAGCCATATAATAATATAAATCAAATCTATTGTGTGAAAGATCCAAATGCCGTAGTGATTTTAAGTGATTAAACTGACTTCCGTTTAGGCGTTGGTTGATATAGTTGAAACTCATATTCAGGCATTCTACATCTTCCATTCCCACAAAGTCATCAGGATGAAGAACTCCTATGTTGTTAAATGAAATATCAATTGATCGGTTATATTGCCAGCATTCTCTGTACTCCATTTCTGTTTCTCTCGGTAACTCCTTGTTACTGACATTCATAGGCTCAGTCCACATTTTCTCTTCTCGGAACAAAAGTGGTGGATCTATTTCTGTCCTATGCTCTCGTTGTCCACAGGGCATTTCAAAAGTTATTAGGTTTTCTGAGAAACTAACAAAATTTAGATTCTTATTTTCCAAAAATATACTGAAGTTGGCTTGAAGTATAAAATTAGTTCTTAGAGTGATTTCCAAGAGGTTAGAAAGATTTAGAAGTGGTTTGATACCTTCTTTATCCAAAATGTTGAAAAAGTATCCTACCACAGAAAGCCTACGCAGAGAACTCATTTTGCCTACACTAGGGTGGAAGACAAGCCTCTCATACATTGAATAGGGTTGAAAATTAAAATCTAAATACAACGACTTTAGGTTTGATAATTCTGAGAAATATGTTTCTGTCTCAAAGTTTAGGAAGTTGTCAGACAAATCCAAAGTAGTTAGTTTTTTCAGATTTTTAAATAGGGAACCATCCAAAGTGTGCAGTGAGTTGCCCCTGAGATTTAAGAATGTAAGATTACGGAGACAATCAAAAGCCCCGGAGACCAAATTCAAGGCACTGTTATTTTTACAGGGGAAGCAAGGTTGGACAGAGTGGTCACACCGTTGACAGTTCCACTGCATGTTGAGCTTCTGAAGATTGCTTAAAGGGCACAAGTCCTCTCTGTCCACTTTCCAAATACTGTTTTCAGACAAGTTGAGGTCTTCTAGAGAACTTGAAAGGTTTCTAGGGAAAGTGCTAATATTACTAAAGGCCAAATTTATTTTTTTTAGTGATCTGATGTTCCTAAATGCATCTTGTGAGAATGTAAACTGCTGTCCACATGTATTGAGATAGTAACAGTTCCATCCTATATTCAAGGATTCAAGTCTAGTGAGCCCAAAAAGGTCCTTCTCCGACAAAACTGCAAGGCAGTTTAGTTTAAGATTTAACATCTTTATATTTTTTGGGAGGTTTGGTACTGTAGACAGACTATTTCCACTGAGATTCAAATCAATTAAGTTTTTCAGATGCACTAGAGCATTTGCCTCAATATATAATGAGCAACTCTCTCTATCTGGTCTCAAATTGCTTGGAAGACAGTTGTTACTAATGTTGAGTGTGATTAGATTTGGAATACCACAGAATGAACAGTTTGCAAGAATTCTCAGCTCATTGTTTGACAGATCAAGGTTAAGGACATTGTCTGATTGAATGTTGGGGATATATATGAGGTTACGTTCGCTGCATACTACAGTTGAACCATTTATAAAGTCATCACAGGGAAGAAATTTAGGAAGGATGCTTGATGTCAGACGCATCTCGAAGATCAGAAATAATGATACTGCTGCAAGCTTCATCCACGTCATCTGAAAACCAAATATATAAATCAGTGTTACTTAATGAAAATGGTGAACATTATGTTAAATAATATATGTGTGAGAGGAAATAAGTAGTTATTGAATTGTCCATAGGTCCAATTTGTTTAAAGGAACACTTCAAACCTAGAGCATTTCAGCTTTAGAAATCGTCACATTTACCAGTGGATCCCAAATGTCTACCAGCTGTCACTCATACAGCCAGGAAGTTTTCTTCCGCTAACATTATCTTGACAGAGCACGCCTCCCACCTTCCCCCCAACCCCCTTTTTTTTTTTCAATAGATCATTTTTATTTTTTCAAAAGTATATAGGGTACAGAAATAAAAAAGAGGGATATGGATTACAGCAAAACGAGTAAGATCATAGAATGGCATGTCAACACCACAGTTCGGTTAGGTTTTGTTCCAAGCTCAAGTTACCCATGACAATGAAGCCTGCAATAACAATGTAACATCACAAAGTACAATTCTAACATTACAGTAGTGCAGAGTAACAGCATAGTCATTTCCTATGGATAGTCAGGCCTATCCTCCACAGGATGGTATAGGGATAGGTAGGGACCTACCCTGGTTGCTTTGTCTTGTGCAGGTGTGTAAGTGAGTTATACTTGGTTGGCCTTCCCCTCTTTTCAATGAGAAGTACTACAGCTCATTGAGAAGCATTGGAAAGCTGTGTTCATGTGCAACTGCATGCATGGCTTCAGCACATAGGCTTCTTAGTGAGAAGCCGTAGACTGGAGTATTCCCTGGGAAAGAGAGAATGGCTTGCAAAGGCTACAGAGAGCAAGTCTGCAGCTATTTGAAAAACAATACATGTTTTTGTGTGTGTAGGTAGATCTACTAAATGGGGTGGGGGGAATCAACTGGCCAGGCAAACTCAAATAAAAATAACAGGCAGGTGGCAATCCTAACTTACTTTCTGCGACTGGGAAAGAGTTATTAAGGGATAATTCTCAGAAATTAATTGGGAAAAACATTATTAGCAATAATCAGCATGGTTTTATGAAACATAGGTCATGTCAAACTTACTTAAAGGGACACTATAGTCACCCAGACCACTTCAGCTGGTCTGGGTGCCAGGTCCCTCAGGTTTTAACCCTTCACATGTAAACATAACAGTTTCAGAGAAACTGCTATGTTTACATTTGGGGTTAATCCAGCCTCTAGTGGCTGTCTTCCGGACAGCCACTAGAGGCACATTTGGCTCCATCGCGTAGAGCGTCCATAGGAAAGCATTGAGAAATGCTTTCCTATGGACACTTTGAATGCGCTCGCAGCACTTGCCGCGCATGTGCATTCAGCTCCAGTGACGTCGGACGGGGAGGAGAGGTCGCCAGTGCCGAGGGAGCCCGGCGCTTGATTTAAGGTAAGTAGCTGAAGGGGTTTTAACCCCTTCAGCGCCACGGTAGGGGGACCCTGAGGATGGGGGCACCCTCAGGGCACTATAGTGTCAGGAAAACAGCTTTGTTTTCCTGACACTATAGTCATCCTTTAATTGCATTCTACAAATAAGTAAGTAAACGTATAGATCAGAGTGTTGCAGTAGATGTGATCTACTTGGATTTTGCCAAGGTGTTTAATACAGTTCCTCACAGTAGATTAGGGTTAAAACTAAAAAAAAATGGTTTAGATGAAAATACTTGTTCTTGGGTAGAACATTGGCTTAAAGATAGAGCAGTGGTGTATTTTGGATTTGTGCTGCCCTAGGGAGAATGGTGCTCGGTCACCCCCCCGTTTTAAAATTTCTCCACCCCTTCCTGTCAAGGCCGCACTTTGACTGACTGACAGATGCTCACTCACTGACAGACGCACTCTCACATATACACTGACAAACAATGACATACACACACTCACTGATTTGACACACTGATAGACAGATACACACAATTACTCGGGGGGACACTGACAGACTCACACTCACTGACAGACACATTCACTTAGACACACACACAGACACACATTTTTTATATATTTTTTTAAATCCACCCAGCCTCCCTGGGAGAGTTGGAGTGGATTACTTACCTGTGGTCCAGTGGGGCTGCTGGGCAGGCACGGGGCGGACAGGCTGATTTTCCTGCTCACCTCCCTCGCGCGCCGCTTAATGATGACGGGAGCCGGAGTGACGTCATATTCCGGCTCCCGGCTTCATTAAGCGGCGCGCGAGGGAGCTGAGCAGGAAGAGCTCAGGTGAGCACGCTCCCTCGCTGCCCGTCTCTGGGGGGCTCAAAAGTGGCCAGCTCTTGAGCCCCCCAGGACACGCGGCAAACAAGGGATCTGCCTGGGCGATAAGGGGAGGCTTTTTTTTGCCCGCCCCCTGCAAATGCCTTGTTTGCCTCACAATAGACACATCACTGAGATACAGAGAGTTGTAATTAATGGTAAATTTTCAAGCTGGACAAAAGTGGTAAGTAGTGTCCCTCAGAGATGTTCTCTGGCACCGCTTCTATTTATAAACAATGTTGAAAATAGACATTGAATGTCATATTTGCAGGTGACACAAAACTATGTAAAGTAATACAATGTGAGCAAGATATTACTATGCAGCAGAGGGATTTTGATAAATTAGGTGACTGGGCACTCAAATGGCAGCTGAAATCCAATGTAGATAAATGCAAAGTCTTGTACTTCAGGTTAAAGAATAAACAAGCAACTTACACCCTAAATGGTGGTGAATTAGGGATAACAACATGCAAGAACAATTTGGACTATAAAAGCTATCCTATCGGTCTGGAGGAGAATAGCTCACCACTCGGACCTGGCACCAGGTTTTTTTCACCTAAATACCCAATTACATGCAATCCACTATTTACAGCAGGGAAATCAGGATTACTTTTCAGACCTCAAACACACAAGGACACGACACCACACCATATTTTTCCCTAGATAAATATTTAGTTTCATAAGGGATTCAAAATTAAAACACATTAAGGACCTTATTCCACACGACTTACCTAGCAGTATGCAAGCCTTCCAGTGCTAGCAGGTCAAACATTTTTTAAAGACTAAATTTGAACTCTCAATCCAAACCTGTTATTAAGGTATTCACCACTTGTTATAAAATGCTACAACTCTTATTTTAGCCTAAACTACCCAACTTTACACGGGCTTGGAATGGCCATCTGCCATACCCCTTGGGATATGAGGATTGGATGAAGGTTTTCCATACTTTTTACCAGACCTTTTTTCCAGAGCCTTTTATTAACATCATAGTGTGCTCCTACAGGAGACTAATTACAGATTGATTGCAAGATGGTATACCACTCCCTCAGATTTACACTGACTTAATAAAACAGTATCGCCAACCTGTTGCATATGTGGAAAAGACAAGAAGGATTTAGGAATTGTCATACAGAACAAACAAGTCAATATGCAATATGCCATGTCAGCCAGCAGTTGAAAATGTCAGAAAGGTATTGCTGTGTATTAAAAGGGGCATTAATTCTCTAATGAAAATATTATTTTGCCTCTTTATAAATCAATGCCTACCACCAGTGTGGCTGCAGCAGGGCCAGCATGCTTAGGGCCATCCAATATTTAAGGCCAATCGATAGGCATCACTAAACAGTAAGATTGTAGTATCGGCTGGGAGGAAGTGACAGCTCCATGCATGGGCGTCCGCAGGAATTTTTCCAGGGGGGGCATAATTGTAATGACATCCATGCTTGGTACCTTTTTGACAGTGTCATGAAAGGGAAGGGGCATAGCCATTATCACATAAAGCCAGGGTGAATAGTGTTTTCACAACTATGGTGTCAGGAATATATGTTTGTATTCCTGACACTATAGTGTTCCTTTAGGCAAATTAAAGGACCATTCTGGTCACCATAACAACATCACCTAAATGAAAATGTTATGATGCCAGGAAGCCCCTGGGTGCTCGCTTTCCTTTAAGGGGTTAAATCACTCTCAAATGGTTTAACCTCAAAGGCTTCCTCCAGTTCCAGGTCGCTCAGTGGTATTTGGCTTGTGAAACAGAGTGTCAGGAAGTGCAGATTGACGTCAGTGCCCCCCCCTGCGGACGCCCATGGCTCCATGTGTGTGGATCTGTGTATTAATGTGTGTGTATATCTGTGTATGTATGTATGTGCATACATCCAAGCAATCGAACACCAACACAACATTTATACACACCCTTGTAAACACAAACATTACATACAAACACACTCTTGAATTCAAACACCAAAATTATATGCAAAACACACTCCTTCACTCAAATACCAATACCACAGATTACACTGCAAGAAAAAAAAAACATTGTGAAAGTAAACTGCCAAAGCAGAATGTCACACCATACACATTAGTACATCAGCGAACTACGACATGAGAAATAAAGCACAACCAAAATCGTAGCACATAAAATGAATTTACCATACATCAAAAAGAATACATTACTCCCAATGAACACAATAGCAAAAACTAGACATGTGCAATTCGTTTCGGTCCGAATGTGAAT